CGAATGACCTTGAGAATTTTAAAACCCTCTATTCGGAAAACCCACGAACTGATATTGTTGTGACTATCACATGACACTGCATTATGCGTGACTTCAAACATACATGAGTATTGGCACTCAGATCCCTACAGATCGGCAGAAAAATGAGATTGAAAAAATGACTTTCGAAATACCTTGAAAATTTTTAAGGCCTCTATTTGGAAAACCTCGGAACTTATATTGACGTGACTATCACATGACAGTGACTTATGCGTAACTTCAAACTTACATGAGTATTGGCACTCAGATCCCTACAGATCGGCAGAAAAAGGAGATTGAAAAAATGACTTTCGAAATACCTTGAAAATTTTAAAGGGCTCTCTGTATTCGGAAAACCGTGGTACTTATATTGTCGTATCCAGGGCTGTGGATTCGGTACTAAAATCTCTGTCTGCGACCCCTTCATAAAAGCTCACACGGTATAGAAACTGTTCTTAAGATTTTATATCGAGGTCGGTGTCGGTACATTTTTACCGACTCCACCTAAAATTACTTCCGACTCCGACTCCAAAGGCTACTATAGTCTACTTACTGAATTCGAGAACGACGTTTGAAAGGCAAACTACAGAATAAGTAGTCGGAGTTCATAAGCCTCACTCATCTGGCCTCTCAAATGGACGGTTGTGTAAGGATCAACAGCACCATTTCCACAAGACATAAGCACTTCCTCTTTGCGATCTATTGAGTATAGTCACATGGGTTTAGATCGGGTGACAAAGATGGCGCAGCAGAATCTCTGCATCGTCTGAATGTCTTCTGAGGTGGTAAAAAAACTCATTTATCTTAGACTGCATCCATCTTTAGAAATTAGATCGGTATATTCGAGCCAGGAGGAAGTCTAAGGAAAAAACATCCTTCGAAAAGTATTGATGTGTGAAAGCATTTCAAAAACTCTCATCAGACGGTGGATAAAGTCCAAAATAAACTAGTAAAATGCTGATAGGTCTCCATGATCTCACAGCCTTGCCCTTTCTTGTGACGTCTTCAGCCAAGTGTGTAGGAACTCCACGGAGAAGAGATCTCCTTGATAAGCTGACAGTACGCTCAGCCAGTCAAAACACGAAGGTTCATTACCTTGTTCGCAAAAGGCCTAGATCTTCCAATGGCGTCTTTCCTTCGGGCTGTCATACCAAAAATATGTATGCATTTCTTATCTCCCCCCATGCGCGGTGCATTCCCCGTCCAGCTCATCCTCCTTGTGTGACCATAATGTTTGGCGAAATACAAATTATGGAGCTCATTATGTAATTTTCTCCATCCTCCTGCCAGTTAATTCCTCTTAGGTTCAAATACGCTAACATAACCATCCACCATAATTTGGAACAGTTTTAATACTGGTAATTGAAACAGAAACCAAACGGAGCACGTCATGTCCTGTAAGACTACACATTTGATATCAATCCATTCGTTGGCTGATTTACATCCTCAGCATTCTCAAAGTAAACAGCGATTATTTCCCTAAATGACAATAAATTATCGGTACTTATAATGGAGAAGCATTGTGTTATATTCGTGGTAGGGAATGAATGTTTAAATATTATTTATAATAATTTCGGCTTCAGAAGGTTAAGGATTCAGATATCCTGCTCGTAACATTTACGAACATTTAAATAGGGATTAATTAAAAATTAAAACAGATAAATGAGCTATTTCATTATGTAGGGACCAAACTTTATACTAGTAGCAAAGCTTCTTTCTAAATTTACAGATTAGCATTTATTTTTCGACTAAAATTAATGAAATAGCATGCACATGTTGAAGGTCCTATAATAGGATTCGACAGATTTCTGTCTTTGCTCAACACGCACGATCATCTTCCACCTTATTCGACGCTATAAAACATACACAGTCGAAACAGCGTCATTAAATAACGTAATAACAACTCAGTGGTGTGCAGAGTAATCAGACAGTGAATACGACCAAGCGACCACATATGAAAACACCATCCGAGTGTCTGCTTCATATTCGGGAACTCCCGGGTTCAGATATTGGACCGGAGACGGACTATCCTGACTGCAGTCTTCTTCAGTCCCTCCAGGCAAATGTTGGGACAGTACCTTAATAGGTCACTCTTCCACATTTTTTTTCAATTCCTTATTCGTTAACAAACCTATCATTCGAACCTGAATATCTGACCTACTGACAGCGTAATTAAATAAACTACAAACCAACCACATGGCCCCATTGGACTGCGTTAATAGATGGAATGGATGCGACACTGACACCATGTCACAATGCCAACCCTGCCTTTACTTAGTACACCCTGTTTATCAAACAAGGATTTCATGACAAACAAACTATTATATTAGGGTTTTATAACAAATTCGGCAAACTGGCTTAAGTTCACGTTCTATACATACATTGCAAACAATACTGAAATAAATCAAACACTTAAAATACTACTCGGACGTACACAAATAAATGCCCGGCACATAATAAACCTACATACCTCATTTTACTTCTGAGTATCTGTAAAATATTTGTAAAGGCTGTAGCATTCACTTTGAGAATGCACAAAATTATTTATGATTGTATACAGCATAAAATCTTTTCTACCGATTAGTTTTGTCAACAACACAAAACAGGCTGGTTAAAAAGTGCCTGCGCACCTGTACTAACGCGTGTGCCAGGTAGGGCGTGCGTGCGTGCGTGTATATGCACAGGGACTTTTGGACCACTCTGTATAAGGCACTACGCAGTACCAAATGAATTCTGCCAATTTCTCTGTCAACATTATTTTACTTTGTAATAAATGAATATAAAATCAAATGCAGGACTCAGAATCATGTGGGAAACATCCCCAACTGTTTAATTGGGACTTAATTTATTTGAACTGTTTATATCCACTGTATATAGTCTCGAATACAAGGTGATATTCAGTAGACTCCAAATTATTAATCTAGTAAGTTATATAACAGCGGATTATATAAATAATGTGGTTAAAATCTTCAAAGCTTGATTCCCTCCAAAATGAGAATTCATTGTCAGAAAAAGTTGTTATAATCCTACAGAAAATGGAGAGATTAAAGGAATAAGAGTTCAAAGACATACATTTTTAAAAATAAGATCTGTTATTCGCGATATACATTATATTCTTTAGCATATATTTACTTCAGGTACAAACTAAGTCTTGCGTTTTTCATTAAATATTCACCATAACGACAATAAGTTCATATGTCTTCACACCATTTAACATCTTTTGTATTATGAGCTCTTCTGGAGAACATGGATAAAGTTTCAGACGTGTTTCAAGTAAGCAGGTTTATAATGGACCGATACGATCCAAAAGCAAATAGATCCAACAGTTTAGGTGTAGATCCCCAGTACCAAATGTCCTCGAAATCGATTTTGAAGTGTAACACGCGAGTGGGCTTACAAGGTCTCGCCTTAACCCGTTCACCTTACGCCAAAAATGCACAGAAAAGGAACGAAAATCCTGGTCGCATTTCGGGTTTTCATAGTGGCAAAATGCAGATTGTGGTCTTCTGGGTTGTGACGCCGTGCAGTGTTGTTGGCGGTTACCAGCGTTTTGGAAAAAACTTATCGCCTTCGTATTCAGTGTAAATACCTACAAGACTACACAGCATCACGACCTAGAAGACCACAATCCACAGAAGTTCTGGTAACTAATATAAAGGAACCAGAACATGAATTTCGGATCATTTTCTCTAAAACTCAACAATCTGACAATTAACCGTTAGTAGGATAATTCTATTGGGCAAGTAAGTAAGTACTGGAATAACAGTCTACTTAAGTAACCTATTTTATAATTAGATAGAGCGGAGTACTTCTTGAGAAGCTAATGGTAGCTCACTTGGTCAATGAATTACCTGTTTTGTGGATCCAGAAGCTTCGCTGCCGTGTTCAGCAAGTCCACTACTCTGCTAACCCAATCCACGCTCGTAACCTTATCCCTTTAAATTACGCACGCTGGTAGCTTTACAGTCCACGACTGTAATCTTGAGACTTGGGGGTGATGAGGTGGGGTGAAGGAGGAAAGGTAGCGTCTGCCTTTAACGTTACGGACTTCCTGTATTCCTTGCAAGTCTCAAGATTACAGTCGTGGACTGTATCCACCCACCTGCATCCTGCCCAAAGTGTATCTATGGATTCCACATGAATCTCCGAATAAAAGGCGGCTATTTCCGTAAACAACAACCAAATAATCTTTATAATAGAGACACATTGTTTTCTCTGAGGCAGACATTGGATTTTTAAATATTATTTTGATGAGCCTCGTGTTTCAAAGACTTATGATATGTGTAAATTTTATATTCGTAAGTCCTAACAATATACACAACAGAGACCATTTTCATTCAAACTTGACATCTAAAACAACACTATTAATGATTCATTCATTTGCTAACAAGTAGTTGGGAACCAAATTTTCCGCAAATAACCTATGCACTTTCTGCATCTTCTAGCATCGTAAAAAAGTTCACATCGTGCACTGCACTAATGTCAAACTCAACCTCTTTTGAAGGTCGCTTAAAAAACAAGTGACTTCCGATAGTGTGGAAATGTTATAACCGCCTGCTTTTCCAAACTCAGACAAATCTGAATTACGCTGAAACACATTTTCACTTTATTTAATTTAGATGCAAAACAGTGAAACATAAATAGCAATTGGAAACTTGAAATGCATTAAAATCGGCACATTTAGATCCACACACCATGCGCAATTCGGCCCGCGGAGTTTGACATGCCTGTGTACTATTTGACAGTTTCTCGTCAGGCATTCTCCATAAGATGGGACGAGATTATGGACAGTGGCATCAGTGTTCCATATCTTTCATTCGTAGGAACACGAAAGAAAAGCTTTTTTTCTCTAAAATGACTGCATTTAGCAGCGCAGTAGTGTAATGTGATGAAAAATACAAATAAATTCCTTTTGTCTAAGCACGTGACTGACAATTTTAAAATAAATTGTTTTAAAATTCCATAAGTTGGCATTAACTTACCTCTCATTGAAGATGTCATTCGTCTTGAAGTGAAGTGCTGTAACACATTTGTATCTTTGGTCTTCGCACGATTATGATATACGTATAAGCCACTACAAAACGTAACTGTATACCTTACACCAACACCGCCGACTGACCAACTCCTTGGAATCAACACAATTCCTCGTAATAAACACATACCTAACAGTTCCGCCATCCAGTGTAAGCACAGCTAAACGGAAGTGCGAGACAATTGTATCACTTACTCCATCTGTCGATAGGTTGGAGCAAATCCTTTTCCCCATTTTTATAATCGATAATCGACCGGCACTTGTATTACTTCAATGAAACCCTCACATCTCACATGTTTTTCTTGCTTGCATCTTAAATAAGATCTGAACTAAACTCATTTTCTAACATTCCATTCTATGAAGACTCCCAACGTACAGCGATATCAAGATTTAAAATGACTAGCAGTGACATCTACCGGTCATATCACATATTCATCAGTAATTCTTCTAACAAATCATTTTCATACGAATACATTAATTGAAAATTAAAGTACAACAATGCAATACTTTTGAATACTTTTTGTAGGTGGCAGAGAAAAAATATATTTCATGCAAAATGATACTGTACTATCAGTTGGTAAATTATAAATCGCACAAATTCTTCCCACCCCTCTTGAATAAAACCAATTACCAACATAGCTAAGAACAAATATCCACTGATTACTAACACTTAATATTAAGTAGAATTCGAGGTCGTCACGGCGGGGAGTACAAAGATGGATCTCTTCAAGGTTGTAGAGCCATATATCACCAGGATAATGATGGAGGCAGCAAGGAACTCTGAAACATTGATAAACTTTTACCACAGTGCTACAATCCATAAGACAGCCATCTTCACTTAATATTAAAACTAGAAGGAATAAATAGGCAGGCCATGTAGTATGCATATGGGAAATGAAAGTAGAAACACACTTTTGTTAGGAAACATGCAAAGAAACCACTCTGGATGGTATCGATGGAAAAATACAACAGGAAATGCTGACTATAAATAAATATGAGCCACAGTAGAACCCAGTATTATGGCATAACATGATAAATCAGGGAAAGGCAGTGTAAGAAATAACTATTACACTGATCCTCAAACTTAAATGAACTGACTCAAGACTGGGTCTGGAAAAGGTTCTTGTGAACACAAGAATGAACTTTTAAGTTATATAAGAGGCACAGATTATCTTCACCAGCTGACTGACAATCAGCTTCTCAATAAGGATTCTGTTACCTGGAGTTAGTTCATCAGTACGGAAAAGAGTTGAAATTATGCAGATAAATAAAATGAATAAAAAACTTCCACATTGACATCTGCTATAATCAATCATAATGGCAATCATTCTTTATTGAAATATCCACATGCACACACCATTCAATTAAATAGTAGTAATAATAATAATAGGCATAGTAAGTACATACCAGACAATGAATGGATGGTCCAAATTTGATTATTGGAAGGTGCAGATAAGACACTAAATTAATCTTCCTCTGCAGAAAATTGTTTTATACCATAAACCATATCCTTTACTTCTATTTAATTATGTAATGGGACTGAAATGCATGACACTAAAACCAATCTTTAAAAACATGACACATTTTGACCCTTCAATTTATCAAATGTCTGCCTATGTATAATAATGAAGTCCTATTAAACTTCACTATTGAAACCATAATTTCTGTGAACTAACCCCATTACTGTATAAAAACGTGTGGTTCTCATAAATATCAGAGTTCAGATTGTGATCTTCTGTGTTGTGACACTGCCTCCATGTACAAGGAAGAAGATGAAACTGTACATTCCCCTGAGATGTTGGTAATCAGTGACAAGACTACAACCTGACCCTTTCACCTTCATGGAAAGAACAGTTCCTAATTATTTATTTGTGGTTTATTTGATGACACTTTCAGCAGCTCAGACTATATATCATCACATGATAGTATAATGAATTAGAAAGGCTATGAAGGAAGCAGCTTTGGCCTAATTTAAGTACAGTAAAGCTGAAATTTAACGGAGTGATAGGGGAAAATGGTTTCTGATAATGCTGATTGTTTGTTAAACTGCAGTTGTTTTTACAATGCCAGTAATGCATCCTCAGACCATAATTTCAATCAGAAACAAAATTACAGAGATTAGTAATATGAACTGGACTCCTACAAGAATACAAGGTTCATTAAAACAGTACAACGTAAAGAAAGAATTTCACTTTTAATAGACTTTGCCCACTAATGCCTCACAACAAGAAAAAATTTGGCAATAATAGACTGTGCCTGTTAAATCCTAAATCTGTTAAATTATCAGTTTACTGTAATACCCTGGCATTTATTTGAGGGAGTGAGGAAAACTGTAAAAACCTCAGTCAGGACAGCTAGTCACTTATCTGGGATTTAAACTTGGGACCTTCTAAATACAAAGAACAGTGTTTCAATAGCATCACCATAATTATAAATTTCACAGGAAATAAAGGAATATAAGAACAAACATTTATGAATAATGCCTACAGATATAGTCTACTCAACAATCCTGGTCTCTGCCTACCTTGGTAATGGCGAACGTGTTCATTACGAGGCGGTGACACCTAATAGTAGATGTCAGGCAGAAGGAACCTACATCTTAATATAGGCCAGAAACCAGGATCAGGGTCTAGCATTCCTCGTATTTACAAACTTACACTCTGTAAGATGTGAGGGAGTCTCAAACTCAAGAACTTTTGCACAAAAGGAGCACCTTACCTCCGGACCACCTAGTTCTAATGTATCCGAATGGCGGAAATGACTATATTTAGGACAGGAATCAAAAACTTAGTTTCTACTGCCCCTTGTTCCTGTACTATAATTACATAATCTGCTGTCAGAAGCTTCATACTGAAGAAGTACTCTGCTAATCTCTCTGAAGTGATAGAAAACTAGCCAGTCACAACACAGTGGGATCACCCAGATAGGAACATTCACATGTATTACTACAAAAACATGCAATTGGTGTGGCACACTCAGAGTTCATAAGGATCAGATTTTGTTAACTGTATTATTGCTCATTCTCTTGGCAGATTGTTTACACAAATTTAATGTGTCAAGTTATACTTAGTGACTTGCTACCAACTACATAACTAATTAGCAGAATCTGAAGGCTTAACATCACTAGTACCAAAGCCTGTCATTGGATATGATCCTGAGCCAGTTCTAGCCATCTCCCAACCCATTTCACTGATGTTTACCAGCATTTTACCCTACCATCTTTACTCTGTCTTCCAAGAAGTTCCCCATCAAAATTTTGTATTCCTTCCTTATATCACACATTCTAATTACTTGCCCAACCTGTTGTAGACTCTTAGATTTATCTGTACTAACAACATGAGTTGACCTGTATAGAAACAAGATTTCTTTTAAATAATATTCTAAACTGTATAATCACTTAATTCTACTCATACCTCAACATCTTCCTGAACACATTGTTTTTAAACACTTGTAATTTATGTTCTGACTTCAAGTACAAGACTACAATTTACATCCACAAGAAACAACTTGTGAAATTATATTCTATACATCCTGGTCTTTAGTGATCTGGAATGTAGACACAATAATAATAGTTCTTAAACTAAATAAAAAAGTATTTATAGAATGTATTATTCTCCAAATTGTATGTGATCCTCATTCATGTTTTTAAATGCTGTTCTACAGTGTAAGACTGTAATCTTGAGACTTATGGGGTGAAGGAGGAAGGAGGAAAGATAGCATTAGCCTTTAACGCTTCGGACTTCCTGCATTCCTTGCAAGTCTCAAAATTACAATCACACAAATTCTGAAACATTTTCAGAGAGAGAGAGAGAGTGTACATACACATATACAGCTAACATTAATGTAATGACTTTGTTGCTGATATATAGTTTTATATATATTTATTTCTGCTATTTTTTTGGCAGGTATCAATTCCCAAACTAAAGACAATATAGCAACAAAGTAGCACAATAAAAACCGACTGGCATACAAAACTTCTAGAAAAACATGAATGGGATCAGTACCATTTCAACCTTACAAATTGGCAAAACCACCATGTTAGTATAGTTGTTGACAAACAGTTGAGAATTATAAAGCTGAGAAGGTTTGCATTAGCATGATGTTCATACCAAGTTTCATGACAATTGGTAAATTAATGTCTATAATACTGATTTCCATAACTGAACAAAGCACGGACAGACACACAAAGCTTACTAGCAGGATTCTGAAGAAAGAACTTTAATCCTTTAGAATCTGAAATGAACTCTTAATACACTGTGTTGTTATCAAACAGGTGACTCTATCAAACTTTCATCAAGGAATACATCGTCAGATTCTGCTATATTGTGAAGAGTTGGTTCTCTCAGAGATGGCTGACGATGAAATAATGACTGTCTGCCATGTTGTGTGTCCCCACCATACTGAAGATTCTCTGTGGGTTCACAACTGGTCATCGTAGCTGGAGTATCTACTTTCTTCAAACTGGTAACTGAAGATATTGAGCGCTGCCTCACAATACGCTGTTCTGTTCGATCGAGGATGGTATCAATACCTTCCTGTTCTTGAGGAAACAGGCCCTCAAGTTCTGCAGGGAAGAGACAACATACAAGGTAATATTATGTCAATTGACCAACAATAGGCTTCATGTTATTCTTAAAGACACTAGAATTATGCGTGGGCTACAAGAACAAATGTACGATCAAGACAAGTGAAAAATGAGGAAATGATTAGAATAAAAACAATCAGAAGGAAAGAGAGAAGAAGAGGAGCCATAGGAAGTGTATCAACAGCTGGTGAAGAAGAACAATCATAAAAAAAAGGAGAAGCAGAGAAAAAGACCAAGAATGAGATAAAGGAAGAAGTGGGCAAATAAGGAAACAAAGAGCAGGAGTAGTCGATGAGGTACAAGGAAGAGAGGTAGAGGGCTATTTATTTACTTATGGTTCGTTTAATGACAATGCCAACAGATAAAATAATATAGCATTGAATAATGAAATGATCAGTAAATAATGAAGTGAAAAGGGCTTATTCAGGATATACAGTTTCCAGGCTAAGATTTGAAAACAGGACATCCTGAATATGAAGGTGTGCTAACCCTTGACTGGAACTGTGCTAGCAAAGGACAAGAATAAATACAATTTTTTTTCCC